CAAACTTCTGAATGAATTCATACTTACATACTTTTTTAATAAATGATATGTGTTTTTAATTAAGAGTAATTTCATGTGAATGTGCTCTACTGGAGGCATCCATGTTTGTCAAAGAACACTACTGCCGCCTACTGGTTTGTGACATAACAGTGCAGTATCGGCTGTTGGGCAAGTCCCAGTGCTGTATCTGTGGTTTGTCAAAACACCAGATACAGACTTTACCTTTAAAGGCAGTCTTTGGCTTTTGCACCTCATTTTGTTTTATTATTTGATACCTTAATAGACTATGAGCTAAGCTATCTTTATTTGTTCCTATATTTGGATTAATTGGGTTGTTAATCCAAATATAGGAATGAATTCCATCTTAATAGCCCCATTACAAATACCATACATCTGACGCAAAACACAGTTGACATTTTCAATAATTTTTTTTAATTGCTGTATTTACTTTGTCAATTTCAGCAGATAGAGGAAAAACATGAGATGATGCCAACTGTGGTTCCTTCAGTAGGGAGAGCATACTGTGTATCAGTCTTATTACAATAAGAGGAAACATTGGCACTGACTTTTTTAGGTGTTGTGACCTCATTTAGCAAACGGGGTCTAGCTGGCGGATAACAATTAAATTGGTAGATAGCATTGTTCTGCCCGGCCTTGTACAGAGAAAGACAGCTGATAAGTGCCATCGCCACAGAAATAATGTAGAAGAGAGTTGCTGAAGAAAAGGGAAAAAGAAAAAACACTCATGTTCAAAACCCTCCAAAGAAGAAAGTTTTACTGATAGAAATACCTTTCATCTCTATCGTCTAAAATGTTCTACAGGTACCTCTTATTTGGTGCACTAAAAACAGCAAAAACTGGGGAGGTATTTTTCCATATTAGGACATTGCACCATCTATTGTTCACTAGATGGATCCTAGGTTTGAGGTTTTGAACAAACATAGTTGACTGTTTTGTTGTTCTCATATTTTAAGGTGGACATCATTTCCTGTCTAAAGCTGTGCGGCATTGAGCTGTCAGTCAGCTAACCAGTCTGTATTTATACATACATCCACACTCATGGGTGTTTGTGTGTCATTGTTCTGTAGAGGTTCAGAGGTCATGTGTGCGAGAGGACATTTCAGCAGCATATTTCCCAAAGGTCCTCACCAATCTTAATTCAATGTAGAGATGGTGAAACAGACCTCTGTCAGCACACTGTTTGCACTGGAATGGTGTTTGTGCTATAATGGAAGCTTTGCAGTCTGGAAAAGTTTGGAGTTTGATTAAGGTTTTTTCATGGTGTGAGTGAAGTGTGGAAAAATAAATACGTTTTGGAATTTTATTTTCAAGAAAATATTTCAGCTGTCAGGTTCATCTGTTCAGTTTGCAGATTAAATATTTAAAACCAGGTGATGTTAAAGAAGTACCTGTCCATCTTTATTGCTATCATGTTTAGGAAGGTGAAATGGCTAAACAAAAATTCAACTCTAAACAAATGATTCTGAGAGGAGAGTATTTTTGCATGGATGTTGGTCTAAATTTACCACACCTGGTGAAAAAGTAAAAGAAAACTTATTTGGCTTTAACTACAAACAGGTTAGAAGAATCAACTTTGTCATCACACTGTCACAAGTACAAAGCAACGAAATTAACTGTCTGCATTTAACCCATCCCTTGGGGAGCAGTGGGCTACCATTGTGTGGCACCCGAGGAGCAGTGTGGGGTTAAGGGTCTTACTCAGGGACCCAGAGTGTCAGTCTGTGGGAGTTGGGCTCAAACTCAGAACCTCTGGATTCCAAGCGCAATGCCCTAAGCACTAGGCTGCCACTCCCCCAAGGATGTAGAGAAAAAAAAAGGAAGGAAGGTGAAAGCCTGACTCTAGAAACATGCTGCAGGGATTAATATATTCACTTTTAGAGAATCTTTAACCGTTAGCGTTTACTGTGGCTGCAACCTTTTTCATCCAAAAAGAAAGAAAACCCGAGCAATGAAAACCTATTGCCAACCTTTTAAATTATATCTTGCAGAGTTGCAAAATTATTTATGCTGAATAATTTTATTTTAATGTGCAATTATAAAACCAAAATGGTGTTTCTTTGTTTTTTTTAAAGATTTTACAATAAGAAAAATATATTTAGATGTTTATAATGAAGTGAATAAACAAATCATATCTGGATTTGCTTCTCTCCAAAATGGTGTTGTGTGATAAGAACAGGAAGTTAATTATCAGTTTTTCCTATCTTTTGTCTTGATTTCTTTTTCTTTTTTCATCTTTTTAAGGTTGCAAAATAAAAACCAAAGATTTAAGTAATCAAAGTCAAGAAGTACTCTGTTTGAATGGATGTGTTCTTTCTACTCCCTTCCCAAACTGCAATTTTTTTTTTGAAGAATTTGGAGAGTGGATAGTAAAAAACAAAACACGCACATTTGACTTAATGGAGTGGAAAAGCTCCCAATGTTTCCTATAATTCATAGCAAACTGGAAAATTTTAGTTAAAAAAAGTATTATTCTTAAGTATGTTAGTAATTGCGCTGTCAGTAGGGTGTTTTCCTGTTACAGTGCAGCAGAGTGTTTTTATTGCGGTCATGGACGTGTTACATTTGGTAAGGGACCCAATCGCGTCCTTGTCTGTCATGAAGTGTACGCCGTGTGAGTCTTTGTGTGTGATAGGATAATAACAGTGTGAACCAGCTTCTAAAGTATCATCACTGACCAGGAATTTGTTTCTGGAGACACTTGTGCAGACGTATTGATTACCGCCATAGCAACATAAATACATACAGGCAAAACAGGACCTCACAGTTACAGCGAGAGGAAGGGCTGTGTGAACACGCCTGCCAGAGCGGTGTTTTATTGCCGCAGACTCCTTACTTTTCAAAGTCTAGTGGGGCGGGGAGTGGGGGAGATAAAGAGGGATCATGGGTGGGCCCCAAAGAAACTCAGAGATGGAGACGCCACTTCAGAAAACACTCAGCCTTCACAAAATGGAGGGAGGAGAGAGGGGAGTCAGTCGAGGGGAAGACGGGATATCACATGTTTAATGGAGTTAGATAATCTTAGATGTGTGTGTTTATGTGGGCCAGCAGGGCAGGTACAGTTTGACTGTTTGCCAGTGTCTGTCTAGGTGTGACTCCCCTCAGCTCCAGCAGAAACAGTGCCTTGCAAAAATGTTCCTACTTTTTATATTTTTAATAAAAAGCTGACATTAAGTCCAACTGTTCAGAGGTTTGTTGGAGAACATTAGAGAGAAACAGCAGTTGGGACAAGGTTTAAAATAGCTTTTTAAAACAATACTTCAACCTTAGAAACACATCTCAGAGCCCTGTTCAATCTAACGTCTAACGAGGGAAAGAAAATTGACACGGCTGAGCAAGGACAGCATTAATCTGAGAAACAGTCAAGTAGTACTCCATAACTCGTAATGAACTATAATGACCCAGGTGGGAGAATGTGTTGACAGGAAAACTACTAGCTGTGCACTTGTAAATTCTGGCCTTTATGAAGGTGTGGCAAGAAAAAAAGCTCTAGCTAAAAAAAGGAAAAAAGTTATAACAAGTCTAGTATCAAGTTCTCCACAAGCAATGGATAAATGTGCACATGAAATGAGTCCAAAGTGCAGTTTTCATATCTACATGCGAAAAACTATGTATGGTAGAAACCTGTACATCACCATTAACACAGCAGGTGGAACATGGTGCTGGCAGCATGAGTAGTGTCAGAAGATCTGGTTTAGTTGGTGGGACGACTGCTGGACTAAATGCAGGGCAACCCCGGAAGAAAGCAGGGATGAAGGCTGAGAATCTATTTGCCTGGGTTTAAGCAATTTTGCAAAAAAGAATTCCAAGAATTTCATTTCGTAGATCTGAAATCAGGTAGAGACGTCTCTCAAATAAGTGCAGCTGTCGACGCACACAAAGGTTATTCTACAAAGTATTCATTAAGGGGGACTGAACACAAACACACGGCACATTTTTCAGATTTCCATCTATAAAATAATTTTAAAAGCATGCATTTCTTGCCCTCCATTCCATATAAAATGTCAGAAGAGTACATTAATGTTTCTGTTTGTAATGTGGCTGTCTTATGTTTCACGAAGGTAGCTGTTTATTACATCCATACATGCTTCCTTCTCCAACTCAGGCTAGGATGTATTGTTGGTCTCTCACGCTCTGTTTCCCCTCAGTCGCACACAAGCTTCATACTCATTTTCACATTGGTCTCTGCGGGGCCTTCAGCCATTAACTGTGTCCCAGGCTGGGAGCGTTGGGTGTACCCATCAGGGAAGCCAGGCAAGGCTGGGCATAGCTGTCCCCAGAGGAGGAAGCCACTTTCTCATATCTCTGCCCACATGATTTCCCAGAATACTTGTCTCTGAAGATGTTAGTCATCTGAAGAAAATAGGTTGTTTACTCTTGGATAAAGGAATAAAAGCAGCAGAAGACAAAAATTCTTGAAAAACCTTTTTATATATTTTTTTTACCAAGAAATCGTTGAACAATGGAACTCCAGGTCTTTTAACAGTGCTGCTTAATCTTAAACAGGACTCATAGATTTAGTTTAAATCCAACAAAGAAAGAAAGCTTTCTTCCATTTTACTTCTCTGTCTTAAATTCAGATATTAAAGTTTTTATTTATCTCATTTTCTCTTTTCTTCCAGTTGGCAGCATTTCTTTGTAGCCTACGATTCCCCTAAATTATCATACTCATTTAATTACCATCTCTGATCTGCAATATTTATCTATTTCATCTTGTATTTAAGAAACTCAATAAACATTCTGTTTCCTACGGATCTATTTTCTCTCTTTGCTGTCAAGGCAGAGAAAAGAAAATTAAACTTGTAGAAAACAATATCAGTGTGCTTGTGCGAAGATGAGCAATATCCAGGATTTAAATTAATTTAAAAGCTTCAATAATTTTGCTTGTTTGGTGTATGAAGATGGTATAATCTTTAATAATGTGTCTGGGTAACTCTTATGAGTTAGCTTCTATAATATTATGAACCATTTTGTGCCCTCAGCTGACGGCGGACCAGCTGGTGATGCTTTTGGAGCTTCTGCTGGAGGAATCAGAGCTGAGTGTGTCATCAATGCGTGCTCTGCAAAAGACCTACAGCCTGCAGAAACAAGATGCTGAGGTGAGACTCCTCATGGGCATAAGCTCGGACAAGTGAGGACACATAAGCAAGTTCTTGTTTCCAGGTATATATATAAAAAAAAAAATACAGCGTCTTCTTGGAAAGGTATGAATGCACCTTCGAGTTTCTCCCATTTTGTCACATTACAACCACAAACCTAAGAAAGCAATAAACATAAAGTTGTACATATCTGTATAATGGATGGGAAATTGTGTGTTTCAAACTGTGTATGTTTTTATACATACTTTATACATGTTTGAAATACAAAATCGTACACTTACATATGGGAATGTAAAAGTTGTAGAGTGCCTTTTTATTTAGCAGCCCCCTTTCAATGTTTTGTAAAACATATCTGTGCTACAATTAAGATATATTTTTAGGGGTGTAGCTCTACCAGTTAAAGGTATAGTGGAGGATGTTATTTTTCCAGGTGGATCATCAAAATAGGTGGTCCTCCTTAATAGTCAATCATTCTGGTGATATGTTTGCGTAAGGCCTCCCTACGTGATCATCCCCATTTTCACTACTAGTGAGTCTGACGTGGAAAAATTGCAAATATTCTTTTGGAAGGTAAGCTTGTATGAGAGATGCAAACAGCAGCTTTTAAACAGAGCGTGCTCGAGGAGAAATGGGCTCGTGCACGCTCTCTCGCACATGTTTAATAGGCGTTCCCCCTTAGGAGCGGGTACAGGGTTGTGCTGTGCATTTTTTTTTTAAGTGGAGAGTGAGTGTCTTTTTTAAAAAATCCTGAAAAATCCTCCACTGTACCTCTAACAAACCTTGGCTTGAACAATTTTCTGTGTTTGTTTTTTTTTTTTTTATTTGTCTGATCTGATGAAAAGTCAAATTCAGTTGAGTTATATCAGAAATTCAGTTTTCAAGTCTTCTCCCAGGTTCTTCTTAAAATTTCAATCTGGATCTTTAACTAGCATGTTCAATCATAAAAATACTACGATTGGGATGATTTTCAGTAGGGAAGTGATACAGAAGACCCTATATGATGATGCCATATTTTATGATATAGATTTAGATGTTATTTGTCAAAAGTAAGTGATAAATGTCCATACTGTATGTGCTCCTCAAAATTTACATTTGGTCTCAACTTTATATTAATAAAAATCATTGATTTTTTTTCTTCTTCTATCTTTTTTTTTTTTTTTTTGGCTGTGATGTGACAAAATGCGTAGACGTTTAACTAGGAAGAAAGCTTTTGTTAGCCAATCTAGTTCTCTTTTCTATTCTCATCTGAAGGCAGTGAGATTTGAGATTACTTTTATAATTGTCGTAACAGTGGTTCTCTTCTCCTCCTACTGTAATGAACTAGCCGTATATAGCCCTATATACTATACGCATTCCATGCTGTTTGTCTTAATACCTACAATTTTATTTGTACTTTTAAAACAGAATGCATGTATTTTTGGCAGTGGAGGCATTTGCATTGACATCGAAAGTGTTTACGGTGCAGAGCTGTTGTGAACTACATGGGCGCAGGGGTCACAAAGCAGCTGCTACAAAAATCTACAAACTATCTGCGATAACCTCCATCATTAACATACTGCTCACGCTGAAAAGAAAAACTTGATACATATTTACGTTTTTACAACTTCCTATTAGTTATACGAGCTGTTTTGTTGAGGCTGCTGTGGGTTTAATGGGACTCAGATGTTTTATGTAGAGTCACTCCAATTGTTACTAAAAACTTGATGAGTCATATGTAGCATTTAAATCAAAATCTCCCATTTTTGCCTGTTGTATAATATCACAAAAATAGGCAACCTTTTTATCCTGTAAAATAATTTCCCAGCGGCTGCTTATTGATCTTGTAGTGACTAAACAAAGGCCACTCTGTGTTTGGCCAGGACCCTGAAGGCTTACTTCCTGGCAGATAAATCACACTCTCCTGTACAATTTCCAGGAAAAATAGAAAACTCTCAATTTTCTAAAAATAAGCTGGGCTCTAATGCATAGTGATGCAGAAAATAACACACAGTTTCCCTTGCACACACCTGTGTAAAGGGGCAGCCGTGCTGTCTGAGGTTGGGCGTCTCATTCTGAAGAGGTTAATCACTTTTATCTCTCTCATAAAGGGGTCCATGTATTTTTCTCACCATTTCTAGCTTATTTTCTTCCTTTTTCTACATATTCCTCTAGATAATTCAGAACTGCGTACACATAATCACAGAAAATAATTGCAGCTTTTTGAAGATAATGAATATAGCTTGAAATGAATGGATGTTGAGGTTTCTGTAATATCACTATAAATAAATTGTGAAATATCTGATCAACCACCTTGTAATGCTGTTTTCACAGCTTCAGCGGCTTACATGCCACCTTATGTCATTAAATAATCCCACTGGGTGAATTGCATACCTTGAGTATTTGTACATTTTAGTGATTAGTTCGACTAATTTTTTATTTCAGTCGGATGTGATCATAGCATGTTGTTTTATATTGTTTTATATTCACTGTGCTTAACAAATCTCTACAGAAACCAAATATGTTGTGTAATTAAAGTGATAAGAGGGCTTGTTTTTGAGTAGAAAATACTGACCTGTAGTGCATCTGTTAGTTTAAAAAATGTGGACAAAATTGAAAGGCTGACTGTGCGTGCAGCCAGAGTGCTTTGTGTTGGTACTAAGAGTCCGGGAATATTTGTGCAGGTGGGACTTTAAGCTGTGGGCATGTGTTTGCATGCATGAATGTGGGTGCGTGACTTTGGCCCACTCTGTTTCCTATGAACCAAGTGTGATTCAAGACGCTGTGTGACTCTGCATGTGCTAAAGTGATGGAGCGCACACATGTCAAAGGTAGCTACTTCTGTCGCCTTTGTTGACTACAGGTTCTGCTTCATGTATTTGATGTAGGATGAATTTATCAGACCAACAGAAGGATTTTTAAAACTTAAACTAAGGAGGCTCTGTAAAAGGGCACCAAGAATGCATGAAACGTGTTAGGGTTTTGCCCATACGTGCAAAAGTTATATTTTCAAATGCAATTGGGGCAATCTCACATTTAACTGGAGTAACTTCTTAACCCCTTATAGGGTAAGTTACCGTTTTTGATCAGTTGCATACCCCTTACAAATGGAGCACAAATCCAGCCATTCAGCAAAGATCCTGCTACATGGCTGTACATCTTATTTCGCATTTGACCAATTAGATGAGCCCTTGAATGATTACCTATATTTCAAATTAAGATGAAAAAAGTTAACAAGTTAAGAAAAAAAAAGTAAAAAAGCTTAATGAAAAAAAAAAACAGTTAATAAGCTATGCTAAAAAAGTAAAAAATGTTAGCCCTTATATCAGCATTAATGCCTGATGTAGCGAAAAAATTTGTTTCTTTCACTCTTTGAGTGTTTTTCACAGATTTCCTTATAGAAGCAGTTTTGTTATTTTTCCTAATACATTCGAGCAAGTTGGAGTTTCTTGCATTGACATACATTTTTCCCATCAAAATATACATATTTTATTTAACGTTCCAAAGATAATAAGGCCACCCTGGATTCCAATAATACTATTGGCTTGTATTTATTAATTTCAAAGTATTTTCCTGAGTGCCCTATAATGGGTTAAGGGTTCTGGTGTCAAAAATATAGAAACCCTATAAAGAGATTGAATTGCCTCCATGCCTTAAAAGTCTCCGTAGGGAAATTGGAAAAGAAAAAAGCTCTGTTAAGTATGAAAAAACAATCAGCCACAACTTTTTGGCTGGTTTCCATTTTCTGGTGCTTTTGCTCGATTTTGCGGATTAACAGTAAGATATTGCAGCCATATATTTGTGAGCCTTTCACGGTATTTACACTGTGAAAGTGAAATACATTCACATCAGAGCAGAGGGTTAATGTAGGGAATTTTAAACAGCGCTTACTAAGCACTCAAAGCTCCTTATATCAGAGCCACATTCATCGAGCCCTATTCAGACATATTCATATACGTACATCGATATATATTGAAACTAGAGGATATAGCTCACTGCCCAGGGAGGCACAGACAAGGAGAACAATAAGCTCTTACAGACAGACTATTATTTGCACATCAAATTAGTTTTTTACGGCCTTCTGCATGTTCAGTCACAGGGATTGGAGGCGCCTTCTGTTTTGTTTTATTAAAAATGTAAGCACGGCCAGGTTTGGCTAATGATTGTGAACTTTATGATTTTATTTCAACTCTTGCTTCCCACCTAGAGTCAAATAAATTTCATATTTTCATTCTTACATGTTCTAATAAGTTACATAGTAGAAAGTAGCTTTTTGGGTTGTTGGTAGAAAAGAAGGACCCTGCCCTGAGTGTGAAACCTCCAAGAACTACTGCTTCATATTTACCAAATGGAAACTTTTATTCCTTTTTTATTTTTCACAGTGGTGATGTGATTCTTACAAAATCTGTTCAGCCCTAAAACTAAGCCCTTATTTCTTTGCTTTACATTTATTAAGGAATAATCTGCCAACATGGATGTTAACCTCTAGGCATGGCCAGTCAGACTGACCTACGCCGCATAGACAAAGACATAGACATAGTCTGGAAAGAGCACTGCCTGGTTTCAAAGACGGGACTAATAGAGTCAGTGGAAACAGGTAATAACCAATCAGGTAATACGGATCTGAAACAAAAACATCTTTCTTTTTTTCAAAAGCGGCCAGTTGTTGAAATTTTAACAATATCAGCAGCTCTTTTGGGACTTAATAAAGGAAGCCATTGAAACGTCACTCAGATGTAGCTGCAATCTTGACTGTTATGGTTACAGAAAAGTGCTGTTGCATTATGGGCCCGCCTCCCACACCATGACAGGTGCTGTCCTTTTAAATCACAGAGTATTGCACCTTTTGCCCAGTATGCTGTAAGTCAGCTACGTAACATACAAAATATGGTATAATAAAGTGTATATCAATAACAGCAAAGTCTGCCCAAGAAGAAAACACTTTCTAGAAAAGGTCTTAGTGGTGTTATAAACGTTGTTAATCAAAACGTAAACTGCTCTCAAACTTTTAGCATTGGATGTATGATGTATGCCACCAAATGTATCCATTTTATCGCTGTCTGAAAAATTTATGCATCCGGATTTTTTTTAGGTATTTAAAGTTTCCTTGGGTAGCACTACTGCCTTGCAGCAAGAAGGTTGCTGGTGGGATTCCTGGCCCCGGGGTCTTTCTGCATGGAGTTTGCATTTTCTCCCTGAGCATGCGTGGGTTTTCTCCGGGTACTCCCGCTTCCTCCCACAGTCCAAAAACATGACTGTTAGGTTAATTTGCTTCTCTAAATTCGCCCTAGGTGTGAGTGTGTGCGTGAATGGTTGTTTGTCCTGTTTGTTTCTGTGTTACCCTGCGATGGACTGGCGACCTGTCCATGGTGTACCCCGCCTCTCGCCTGTAGACAGCTGGAGATAGGCACCAGCACCCCTCACGACCTCACTTGGGATTAAGCGTGTCAGCAAATGAATGGATGGACGTTTCCTGCTGTATCAAATACATAATGTTAAATCATTAACTTCAAATCTTTCAACTAAATATTATCTACATATCAGAAAGTTGTTGTGATGTCAAAGTAATTTAAATAAAACCCAGTAATCTATTTTTGTTCATAGAAAATATAAAGAATAACAGCACTTGAAAATTCTTTAAAATGATGTTAACTCTTAGTCTTTTTAATTGAAGCAACACAGTAAAAATATAAATGCTTGGTTGAACCAAAGCAGCGCAAACTTTTATGTCCCCCTTTGACATTAACAGTTGGGACATCCTGACTGTTCAAAATGCAGCTGCCAGATTGGCTGGCAAAGGGATAAGGTTATCAATCATCATTTCACAGTGCATATCAGTGTCAAAATTGTTTTGACTTGTATTCTCTATTTTTACCAATGATCCAGACAAAGCATAATGTCTTAAAGCGACCTCTCTCAGTGGATAGTCAACTAAATCACGTTTACATCCATGCACTTGCAATAGTTTTATGCTAAATGTTGTGCATTCAGATGGCATGGAGAGCAACTATAGACAAAAGAGAGCCTGCAACTGAGCTTGAACATTGGATGCTGAAGCAACAGTTGTAACGCCTGTTTGTGATAAAACTGTTGTTATAGAAGAGTGAAGGCAAGACCAGTGGTGCAGTAATAAATGAAGGAATGTCACTGCATAATTGCATGTGCTGTCAGGAAGAGGGGCCCTGTGAGAGGAAACATAGTAAAAAATAAAAAAAAAATGGGAGAAAAAGAGGTGCACCAAGCAGCTGCTCTGCCCCAGGGCTCTCCCCAGGAATGTAACCCATTATAGTGAGCAGCTGCTGGGGCTGCAGAGGCCAGGAGGGCAGAACTGGCACTAGAGGGTAAACACGCTCTTTTAAAGACAACACATTTCTAGAGGGAAATGGAGTTGATTTTTAAGTTGATCTGCTTTTGGAGGGGATTTGTCTTCCCCAATGAATATACTTTTATTTAAAAACAGCTTAGAAGCAGGTGAAACAAATTGTTTTGCATTCTAAATAAAGCAGTACTCAGCCTCCACCTTGACACTGCAGGGATGAAGGTAGAGGAATAAAAAACATTAAAAACAAGCACATTTTTATAATATTCAGAATCATTATTTAAACCTTTTTCTTTTCCAAAAGCTCGAGCTGTTTAGATCAAATCAATCACCAGAAATCGCACACAGTTTATTAGTCTAAGAAAACTGGAAACATTCGCAAAAAAAAAAAGGGGCAACAAGGGGAAACAGATTTAAAAGAAGTGATGAGGCTTTAAATGATTTTAAACCTGATATTTTTTTTCTTTTATCTGAGTTCTTTATCTTCTATTGTCCTCTGTTAGCTTCACGCACACAGACTCACACTCACGTGCGCGCTCGTATCAGATGATGACGGATGATGGTTGAGTCAGGGACAGAGTCAGCCTCTGATCTCTCCTGTAACCGAGGCAACAGAGCTCCTATTGATCCTCCAGGGAAAAAGCCAGGCATTAACTTTCACATGCACACAGTCACATAAAAAATACACATTCAGAGAACTAAACTGATAATTCCACATTTATACATCTTATTTTTTAACAGAAGATCATTTCTTTTAATTCTGACAGATTTTTTAGTAATAAAAAAAGGGTGACCATGGAAGCTGGTGTGCTTTTCACTGATGATGTAAGAATAATTTTCCAGACATTTGAAGAGATCAAGTGAAGTTATGTTTATGCAGTAATTTAAAATTCTGTGTTTTTAGAAATAAAACGGCAGGTATGAATTATTAAACGATTTGTGTCGATATACGTAAATGCCTCAAATACATGGATTGCATTCCCTATATAGCTTGTAGCGTTTCTCTCTTGTGGCACAGATGGAAGTGCCGCACGATGAAGATGCTTATTGCCGTAACAGATTTAGTAGTAAATGTTTCATAGTGTAAAAAAACGCAAAGAGAAATGGGTTAAATACAGAGGAAAAAATAAATGTTCTAATATTCTTTGCAATGACACATAAAGATTATTGTTTTTTTGTCTAAATCATAGAAACCCATTTATTCCAAAAACTGTTTTTCTTAAAATAAGTGCATTTGTTCTTGAATTATGGAGGCAAGTGAGACACTTAACCAATGGAACAAGACAATTTACATTTTAAATAATAAAAAACAATAGCAGTGTCTAATTTCTAATTATCTTAAAATAAGATAATTAGATCAAATGCATATGATCTAAATATTTTATTTTAATTGGAAAATACTCATTCCATTGGCTTGATCATCTTATTTACCTACTCAAATTAAGGGTAAATACACTTTATTTAAGAAATACTTACTTATTTCTAGATTGTTTTTGCAGTGTGAGAAAACAAAAAGTTTTAAACAATTATCTAAAAAAAAAAAAAACCTAACAGCTGCATTAATATTATTTTATGGTCATAGAGGGAGCATAACTGACATTAATACATGATTTCTTGATTACGATCTCGATACCTGCGATCTGACAGAAACACTTAAAAAAAGAGACATTCTCATGCGATAAAACTATTAGTGAAACTTTTACTAAACTCAGCAACATGTGTATGTAAACAGACTCTGCCTACCTCTGAAAAACTAAAGTTTTTATATGTTAATCTGAGGAGGTTCAACTGTTGCTTCAGTGGATTTTTTTATTCATCTGCATCAGTAATGTGCTTTTCATTAATATCTACTGATTTCAGTCCTACTGCACATTTGCCAGGACTTCCACATACATTTGTTCTACAAAACAGTTTTTTGATGACCATGATAAATGTCTTAATTTGACAAATCTTTATTGTAAATAAATATAAACAAGGTCTGTTTTTTGTGTGAAATCTTGAATGTTACTGAATATCAGAGTGTTTTTTTTGCAGGTCAGACATCGTTGGTGTGAGCTGGTGATCAAGCATGCTTACTCTCAGGCTTACTGCGATGTTGAGCACTTCCTGCTTCAGGATCAGGTAAAATCATCATCAGCCTAGAAATCTACTGCGGTTTTAGTATTTTTAAAAGATGTGGAGAAAATTAAAAACAGACACTGTGTTTCAGGCAATGGGTGTGTATCTTTATGGGGAGCTGATGGTTCAGGAGGATCCAGAGCAGCAGGCATTGGCCCGTCGCTGTCTCGCATTAGTCCAGGAGGAAATGGACCAATCAGCACGCAGAGTGGTGGAGGAGATGATCCTTTGACACCAGATGTAAGGTGTACGTTTTTTCTGTTTTTGTCTTTTAGCTCAAACCTTTTGGCAGAAACGCTGGTCACTTTGAGCAGCATAAGTTCAAAAACTCAATTTAAGTTGATCGGGTACAAAGAATCTCACTAATTTCAGAGATTCTTTCAAAACATCTCTGAATAAGACATGTCTGGGTAATCTGTACTTTTTGTGAACTTAGCCTTTGTCATATTTGAGCCTGTGCTCTGCTGTGGCGCCTCTTTACAAAAGCTTTGTGTTGATCTGATCTTGATTCCATGAGCTCCAGTGGATAGTCTACATGTGAGTCTGTTGGACACCTTTGCTACGCATTCCTTTCTGACCCAAAAATGAGCTCATAGACTCTTGCGGTTTCAAGGCAGCACCATTACCATATTTGTTGGAGAAGGTATTTGGGAATTTGTTCCTCAAACAAACTGTGTAGGGAAGACGGGAAAGCAGAGAAAATGGGTCAGTGAGCATGTTCTGAAGGGCTCAGGATGGTCTCGGCTCAATGTGGAGTGATTTGCAAACAGTTCAGCCAGGAATTCCTCCGCTGGGTGCTGTTTATATGCATAATCACAGCTGTCAACCAGTGGCCTCCTGGCTTATCCAGAGCAGCTAAAAGTTTCTCTCTCTGACATTAAATGAAAAGTTGTGGTTTTGAGGGTAAGAAAAGGAACAAAGAGAAAGATAAATGCACCTAGAAGTTACACAATTTAAATAACGATGCCAAGCAGTCAATTTAATTGTCTATTCTATCAATTTTTTTTAACTTGCTGTATTCATTAACCTGAAAGAAAGCAATAACAAAAACAGAGTAATGCAGCTGATGTTTTTGCTTTTCATGCAAGAGATTTTGTATATGTGAATATATATATATATATATATATATATATATATATATATATATATATATATATATATATATATATATATATATATATATATATATATATATATATATATATATATATATATATATATATATACACTATATTGCCAAAAGTATTTGCTCACCTGCCTTGACTCACATATGAGCTTAAGTGACATCCCGTTCCTAATCCATAGGGTTCAATATGACGTCGGTCCACCCTTTGCAGCTAGAACAGCTTCAACTCTTCTGGGAAGGCTGTTCACAAGGTTTAGGAGTGTGTTTATGGGAATTTTTGACCATTCTTCCAGAAGCGCATTTGTGAGGTCGCACACTGATGTTGGACGAGAAGGCCTGGCTCTCAGTCTCCGCTCTAATTCATCCCAAAGGTGTTCTATCGGGTTGAGGTCAGGACTCTGTGCAGGCCAGTCAAGTTCATCCACACCAGACTCTGTCATCCATGTCTTTATGGACCTTGCTTTGTGCACTGGTGCACAGTCATGTTGGAAGAGGAAGGGGCCAGCTCCAAACTGTTCCCACAAAGTTGGGAGCATGGAATTGTCCAAAATGTCTTGGGATGCTGAAGCATTCAGAGTTCCTTTCACTGGAACTAAGGGGCCAAGCCCAGCTCCTGAAAAACAACCCCACACCATAATCCCCCCTCCAACAAACTTTACACTTGGCACAATGCAGTCAGACAAGTACCGTTCTCCTGGCAACCGCCAAACCCAGACCCGTCCATCAGATTGCCAGATGGAGAAGCGCGATTCGTCACTCCAGAGAACGCGTCTCCACTGCTCTAGAGTCCAGTGGCGGCGTGCTTTACACCACCGCATCCGACGCTTTGCATTGCACTTGGTGATGTATGGCTTGGATGCAGCTGCTCGACCATGGAAACCCATTCCGTGAAGCTCTCTGCGCACTGTTCTTGAGCTAATCTGAAGGCCACATGAAGTTTGGAGGTCTGTAGTGATTGACTCTGCAGAAAGTTGGCGACCTCTTCGCACTATGCGCGTCAGCATCCGCTGACCCCGCTCCGTCAGTTTACGTGGCCTACCACTTCGTGGCTGAGTTGCTGTCGTTCCCAAACACTTCCATTTTCTTATAATACAGCTGACAGTTGACTGTGGAATATTTAGGAGCGAGGAAATTTCACGACTGGATTTGTTGCACAGGTGGCATCCTATCACAGTTCCACGCTGGAATTCACTGAGCTCCTGAGAGCGACCCATTCTTTCACAAATGTTTGTAAAAACAGTCTGCATGCCTAGGTGCTTGAATTTATACACCTGTGGCCATGGAAGTGATTGGAACACCTGATTCCAATAATTTGGATGGGTGAGCAAATACTTTTGGCAATATAGTGTATATATATACACATCTTTTACAATTTTTCAAGGCTGCACTTTTAAAAAAATGAAATTGTCCAGAGGCTGTTCCAAATTACATTTCTTTTTGTTTCACACTTGTGTAAACAAAATGATAAATAAAATCTGTCTAAGTCTAAATTAGGATGCAGAATATTAGGAAGAAAGGCAATATGCAACTTTCCGTTTAGGATTCGTAGCAAACAGACAGCAGATGTGAAAAGTCACAACTAATTGGTGTTAGTAAAACAGATAAACACAGATACGTCTGCTAGTTTATCAAATAAAACATGAAAATCTTATTTAAATCCTTTTCTGTTCTATTAAAGAAAAAAAAAAATAACATCACCAAATATAATATATTGTTATAGAGAACCATGACAACTAAATTGCTTTTAGCAGTTAAACAATTTTTTTGCAATATTGATATTGGCATTGTAGTAAATTTACAATATATTTAGTCATAGTATATGTGTTTACTTAGATTAAAGCCATAAACAGCCACATTCATTTTTACTGTCAATATCAGATTATAGTATAGTGTAGGCTGACGGGTTAATAATATCATCATGTAGTGAATGTTTGCATCATAGAAGGAAAACACAACCTTGCAGTGTTAGTGGGGACTATTACCGTAACAATATTGATTAAGATCAGTGATTGCTTTCTGTGGCTTTCATTACCACGGCGTCCTAGCACTCACCCTGAACTCTGTGCTCTCTAAATTCCATTTCAAGCATAAACATTAAGGACATAAAGCTCCATCCAAGTGGTCAAACATACTAGCAATGCTTGGCAGCTGATATATTATAGCACATTAAAAATTGCATCATTCAAGGTGTTTGTGATTCTTAGATTGTGAACCTTCATGCTGGTAATTTAATTGTAATCCAATTTATTGTACAGCTTAAGTCTCTAGACATTGGAGGACGGTTTTTTTTGGGTGTTTTTCTATTAAGAGAAATCATAGCTTCATTTATATTCACTTCTAGAAAAAAAACGTATAACAACTTTAAAAAAGTTATTTCAGATTTTATTTCTTTAAATCTAACCTTTAATTAATTTGAGTCTGTTTATTGATGCCTCATTACAAAATAGACCGTACTAAATTCATAGGTGCGCCTTTGAAATACCAGAATAAATAAATCTAAAGAATCTAGCTGCCCCTGCCGGTAAGCTGTAAAATTTAACATGACAAAGTATTTTCACAGGAAAAGATACAGAGGTTATATCAAGTTCAACTCAGAAATGGTTCAATAGATTCCTAATTGATCAGCATCTTAACCCACCTGCCCTAAATCCTATAGAAAAAAAAAATAATAATAACTGTGGGTGGAGCTTAAGAACACGGCATAAGAGAGGACAGGACAGTGAATAATCTGGTTACATCTTCAGCTCCATTCCTGGAGAAACTTTAAGATGTATCCCTGATCCACAATAACTTGCAAAATAAATATCCATAACCTGATGAGCCAGATTGATAATGTGAAACACTCGGGTTTTATCCTACATTAGTAATCTAGGAATGCCCCCATCGAACCTGGAAAAGGACATTTAGTGGAATCTTAGGAGCTAATTGGGCAAAGCCAACCCTAATACCTTGGTACCAATGTTTAGTTTTAGCTAATTATTGTATCAAATGAAATATCAGCAGACGCCATGAAAATCTACAACTTAACCTTTGTGCTCTTCCTTTTCCTCTAAACGATGTGGTAGCAGCAGCTACATGTACATCCTCCCGTGCCGCCATCTTTGTCTTGGTTCAGCCGTGGGTACGGCAGCTCACGTTTTCGTTTCACCTTAAATCATAATACCGATCCATTTTGGGTCAAAGTGGTGTGATTTAAGCTGGAGTGGCAGCAGATTGATTCTCATGTGTTTTTGAAATCAGCTTGAAGGCAAATTTATCGTTATCAGGCATAAATGAAACAATGATGACCTGCAGAGGAGGGAGGGTTGATACAGGCGTGTTGGATCAGGCATGTACTAAAAAGGTTGCAGCATAGTAACTCTAAAGGACTGGAATTAAAGATCGATTTTCTAAAGAGATTACAGAAGGAGAGATGCTTATCTTAACACTAAAAGCCTGAGTAATATTGGAAGAAGGGAATTAGTATTTGCCCTATTGACAAAAGGTGGTTGTCATAGTATCAACAGAATCACAGCAGTAGATGTCCCTCCAGTGATTTTGTTAAAACATACATTTCTTTTCCAGCCACTTAATAAATTGTCCACAAAACAGGAAGGGTTCATGGCTGCAGTTAGCTTGTACAGTTCTAGGCTCAGGATAAGGGCGGCTAATGTTTTTGCAGACCCCCCACATTCTGGACCCAAGTTGTTTAGATCTTCACTGCAAAAACCATCAAGAAATAATAAAAAAAATAATAAAGCATTTACCCTTCATTTGAGTAGATAAATAGGATGATTTGTCAATTGAATATGTTTTTACATTTAAAATAATATATTTAAATGTTATGTACTTGAAATAAGACAATGCAATTTTTTTTTTCTTATTTCAAATATAAAGCGTGTTGTTCTATTGGCAAACTGTCTCATGTAACACGTCAATTCAAAAAGAAATGCAGTTATTTTAAGAAAAAAATGACTTATTTAGATTAAATTTGCACTGTTCATCTTCAGATCAATGCTAATTAGAGCTCTTTTTGAAAAGCAGTGCAAAAAGAGTTCTCTCTGATGAACGCCTCATAGTTAAGTAATCAGCTCATTTGCTGTAAAACTAAATAAGCACATTAACCTGCCTCGAAAAAAAAT